TATGTAATATTTATTGAAGCTTTTTTATTATTATTTTTAGTTGCATTTAGCTTTAACTTTTTTAATAAATAGACTTTAATATAAGCTTAACCGATTGGAAGATACCAGTGAAAATATTTAGTTAATTAACTATATTTGACAAAAAATATTTGATATTCTAACATCTTTATGTTTTTAAATTTTAAATATAATAGTCATTAATTAATAGAATGTGATTGAACCTGTACAAAATATAGGGTTTAAGTGAAGTTTTAGTTTGATAAACTTTTTACAACATTTATTTATGAGATATTTATAAATATTACGCTAGATATTTAATTTTTTAACATTTAAGTTTGGAATTTTCATTAAAGTGTTGCATTTCATTGAAGTTTTAATATTTTATTATATGAACTTTTTATGCAATTTAAAGTAAAAGTTTTAGTAAGTGAAGTTTTTTGTCAAAGGACCCTAAAAACTATATGAGTTAGCGAATGGTTCAAATAAACCTAGGTACGATTAAGCGGATAATATGATAAAGTTCAACTGGAATTTAAAAAAAAAACATGCTGGATTTAGCTTTTAAATAGAAGAAATAAATCATTTTTAATTAGAACTTATACTGCATAAATTAAAATTGAAGTACCTCATGTATAAACTATGCATGATGTACTTTATTACTAACATAACTTTTTATTTAACAATATGCAATACAAATATAAATTCTTTATTTAACAATATGCAAACTCTACTGTTTAAACATATTTTGACTTCAGCAAAAAAATTTAATAAAAATATTTTCTATAAAATCAACTTAAAATTGTCTCCCTCGCAACTTACAATTGTCTCCCTCGCAACTTATAATTTTCTCCCTCGCAACTTATGTCTCCTTCCCAAGACAAGAGCAATTTTTTACTCTTGTAACGAAACTAGCGAGTGCTGTTTGTTGCGCCCAGAAGATTGTTATAATTCCATCAGTTATATAAAGGCTGACTCTAACTATCCTCTTAGTATACTAAAAAGCCTTTCTCAAACTATCTAACTAAGATTGTTAAGCAATTCTTCTATGAAAATATTTTTAAACAATCCATTCCTCTTTATCAAGATGCATTATCTAAATCAGGTTTTGTCTGCAAATTCACTTACCATTCAAATAAAAAGCCGATCCAATTCAAAAATCACAAGCAAAACATAATCTGGTACAACCCACCTTTCAGTGCCAATGTTGCAACAAAAATAGGCAGTTGTTTTTTGAACATGGTAGACCTACATTTTCCGGTTGGTCACAAACTTCATAAGATATTTAATCGAAATACCATTAAAATAAGCTACTTGTGTATGTCAAATATCAAGTCGATCATTAATTCGCACAAACACAGGATAGTATATAGCCAAGATAAAGATTAGAGAAAAACATGCGACTGTGTCAACAAATCCATCTGTCCCATGAACAATTAGTGCTTGATAAAAAAAATCGTTTATCAAGCCACTGTGTCGTCAAATAAACCTGACTACAAAGAAAAAGTATACTTTGGCTTATGTGAAACTCCATTCAAATCTCGCTATGCGAATCACCTAAAATCTTTAACATTAACAGGTATAAAAATGATACCGAGTTGTCTAAAGAAATTTGGGACATAAAAGACAAAATGTTTACCCCCATATATATATATATATATATATATATATATATATATATATATATATATATATATATATATATATATATATAGATGTATATATATATAATTAATAATATTATATATATATATATATATATATATATATATATATATATATATATATATATATATATATATATATATATATATATATATATATATAGATGTATATATAATTAATAATATTATATATATATATATATATATATATATATATATATATATATATATATATATATATATATATATATATATATATAATTAATAATATATATATATATATATATTTATATATTATACAAGTATTATATATAAATATGTATATATATTTATATATATATATATATATATATATATATATATATATATATATATATATATATATATATATATATATATATATATATGATACATATATATCATACAAGTATTTTATATATATATATATATATATATATATATTTTTTTATATTTATATATTATACAAGTATTATATATAAATATATATATATACACATATATATTATACAAGTATTATATATATATATATATATATATATATATATATATATATATATATATATATATATATTTATATATTATACAACTATTAAATATAAATATATATATATATACATATATACACATATATATTATACAAGTATTATATATATATATATATATATATATATATATATATATATATATATATATATATATATATATATATATATATATATTATACAAGTATTATATACAAAAAGTGAAAATTAAAACTAAATACATATTAAATATGTAAATAAAGTAATTTAATTATATTCAGCATTATTAACAATAAGTTTTTATTTAACATAAGGAGAAATAAATGAATTTTTTTACACTTTTGATTTGCACAACTCTTAACAAGCTTAACATTTTTCAACTAAAAATTAGTTTACTCAATAAAAAGTTTTAACACAAATTTTGTATGAAACATTCTCAAGTGCCTAATAAAAGGAGGGAGGGGGAGGGGGGAATAAAAGGGCGGGTGGGAATTTTACTCCAGGTTTAATAAACGGGAGAGTCTTAATAAAAGGGTGTATGGGAATTTTTCACAGAACAAAAATAAAATAGTTTAACTTTAGTGTGACTTGCGGTCAAATGCGCATTTTTAAACAGCTTCATCATAATTTCAATAGGAGTTAAAATATGCTCAAAATATGCTTTGTCTAATAAATAATTCTCCTTTATTCTAATGTACTTCATTTCTTCCCTCAGGCGTTCACTGCTCGTGTGTGACCATTCAGCGAACTTTATATGCCAAAGTTCTTAAATAATATTGGGCCTAGCCCGTAAGGGTTAGTGTTACGGTCATCGAGCACGACTATTTTCCTAATCGCAATTACTGTCACTGCAAAAGAGGATGTTTGTCTGTGAAAGATGCCTGGGCTAGCTTTTTAGTCATAAGTCAGTTCTAAATCCATGCATAGGTGTTTAATCCATCATGGTTTTCTGGAGTATGGCTGGGCTGGCTTGGTTTAGTTCAGAGACAAAATTTTTACGCTGGTTACTAACAATACAAGACTCTACTGAATGACATAAACAGCACAGACTTATACATTACACCTATACACCCTTATGCACATACAGCCTATTTACATTGTTTGCATGCTTTTTGTTCTTTCATAGATAAACTATCTTTTTTTGAACTCATCCTTATTTAAATAATATTTTCTTTTAATAGATAATATGTGGTTGAAATGTTGATATAGATTTGTATGTTATCTATATGTGTTTATCATGTGTGATTGAGTTTTTCATATAAGGATTCATATGTATATATATATATATATATATATATATATATATATATGTATGTGTGTGTATATATATATATATATATATATATATATATATATATATATATATATATATATATATATATATATATATATATATATATATATATATATATGTATATGTATATATATGTGTATACATATATATATATATATATATATATATATATATATATATATATATATATATGTATATGTATATATATGTGTATACATATATATATATATATATATATATATATATATATATATATATATATATATATATATATATATATATGAATATAAGAGCGATTCTTATAAACTAGCGGCTTTCGACATGTTTTTATGATGTATGTTTTTCCTTGTTATTTTGTTATGGTCTCAAAATTACATTCAATTCGGACCGTAGAGAAAACTTTTCTTTTCGGAAATTTTGATTTAGATATGGTCTCAAAATTACTTTTAATTCAAAATTACTTTTAATTACTTTTAATATATTTTATTTTCACGTTTTCTTTTGGTGGTATGGTAAGTTTTTTATTTAATTATTTTTATTTTTGTTTGTTCAGTAAATCTAAACTTTTTATATCATATCATCAAAAAAATATTGGTGCTTTATAAATTTGGGGTTGGTTGGGTTTTGGCTATTTGTAGTGAGTCCTTTTTTACTGCAGTATGGAATAGGCGTAAGTCGCGGGGTAAAGCATAAGTGGCGATGACGTTTGTCTGACGGGATAAACTATAAATGCTTATCCTCATCGAAACGCCAGTAATAATAGATGCAACTCTGAGGAGATGTTTATTACTTAATCACTACACAAATTATGTTTACACATTAGCATTAATGTTTTTTTTTCCATTGTTATATGTCTTTCATTGTTGTTATCATATTTTTTATTTTGTGATCGGTTTTTTGTTTTATAAGTTTTTGTCTGGTGATGTATATCTTCGTTCGTATTGGTGTTTATAAAACAATTTTTTTTTTTTTTTAATTTATCTTTTTATTGTTATTATTGTTGTGGGTGTATAGCCTGTCTTATTTATTTTTAAATATTCCTCTATTAATCTTTATTTTTGTCTTGACAACTGTCAAAATATGCTTTGTCTAATAAATAATTCTCCTTTATTCTAATGTACTTCATTTCTTCCCTCAGGCGTTCACTGCTCGTGTGTGACCATTCGGCGAATTTTATATGCCAAAGTTTTTAAATAATTTCAATAGGAATTAATATGCTTATATAAGTTTTATACTATGGTGAGAAATAAACGAAAACCTAATAAAAACCTAATTTTTCGTTTTATAAGTCATGGTTTACTAGATTTTTTAAAGGTCGATAATTTTTCAAGTCTGATTACACTTGAAGTTTTTTCTTCTTAAAACAACATTTTACCTGGATTAATTTTTAAAATTAAGTTGAAAAATTATTTTTTTCAAGGTTAATTTTTTGAACTGGCATAAATATACCTATTAATTTTTAATTTATATGGGTATATATTTTCAATTTATACTTTTATTTAGAAAGCTGCTGTTAGCAATAAGAAAACACATGAAGAAAAGGTTGAGGTAACAATATTAACTACAATTTTACAATTGTTTAAATGTGGTTAAACATATTGTAGAAAACTTTATTCTTATATAAGAAAGCCTAGACTTTAGGAACAGATAAAATTATAAAAAATAAACTATCCAAATATTTTAAATTAAAATATCTGAGTCAAACTTTTGATGAATTTACACTAATAGTTTTTAAAATGTTCATTTAATTTTGTGAAATACTTTGCCCCAATGTTCTAAAATAACATAACAATTATAAGAAGAATTTATGATACTATGATTCGGTATATATATCGTCAGGGATAGTGCAAAACAGCATAACTAGCATTGGATAATACCACATATCTACAGTACCTTTTTTTTGCTGGAGAAGTTTAAAACTTTTTTTATTCAAACAGATTTTTGATTCATTTTAGTATAAAGAGTATTAATAATGTTTTTGTAATGACAACAATTGATATTTGGTGTTAAAATTATTAATATTCTAATATAGTAGCCGGTGCTAGTTACGCGGATTTGCACTATTCCTAATGTTATAATGTTTTAAATTAGTAAAATTTTTGTTTGAACTTTCTAGGAAGACTTAAGAAATAAACTAAATGATGCAATTAAAAATTGTTCAAACTTGAGAAGCGAGATGGAAAACCTTAAAAGAGAACTTAAAGTAGCTCACAAGGTATTTTTTTTATTGTTATTTAATATGCAAGTTCATTCTTAGTTGTTATATACCAACAATGATTATTTTTTTATGTTGTTACCAACAATGATTATTTTTTTATGTTGTTACCAACAATGATTATTTTTTTATGTTGTTACCAACAATGATTATTTTTTTATATTGTTACCAACAATGATTATTTTTTTATGTTGTTACAAACAATGATTATTTTTTTATGTAAAAATTTTGAGAATAATCTTAAGTTTGAATATTGTCTTAGGTTTTGAGTAGAGAGGTGGGTGAACATGTATCATTTGAGTCATTACTTAGCTCAGGATCAACTTGGCGAGGCAGGCAACAGCAAATAGTTACTCTACAGTCTAAAGTATGGTATAATCATTTTAATAAAGATGATGAATTTTTTTGAATTACTAAGTTATCAAATCAAAAACTTATATGATTATATATTTTTTTAAAACTAATTTTTAATTTGTTTATTCCATACTTTCACTTTCACCATATGACTTGTTAAGAAAACTGTTCCATACTTTTACCATATGACTTTTTAAGAAAATTATTCCATACTTTCACCATAACTTTTAATGGAAATTATCACAAATTTTTCACCAATATGGCGTTAAGATCATAAGTAAAATAAAATGTTTATAATTTGAAAGGAATAAGAAAAAGGGCAAAAAAAGGAATAAGTAAAATGGAAAAATAATTAACCCTAAACCTTTATCCAGACCTGATCCTAAAATAAAAGTTGTTTTTTAATCTGTGAAAAATCTTAAAAAAGTGTCTAGATTTGGTGAGTATATTGTATACTAATATTAGGAATATACTAATACTAAGAAGTCTGCAGAATACACTAATGCTATGCATATCTAAGTATGCATTAGTAGATTTTTGATGAAGTTCACCTGGGGAGTTAGCGTATTTATAACCATTTTCATAGGATTCTTTTAAAAATTAAAGGAATATTTATGGTATTAGTTTTCATAATATAGCATTATCTAAAAAGATTGCATATTAAACTAGTTCTTTTAGGGATTTTGCAATAGGGCAAGTCGATTTTGGAATCAGAATTTTGTTAATGCGATTTTTTTATTAATTGAAAAAAAAAGTGTTTGGTTAGATCGTTTTTGTTTTTTTATAGATAAAGTTTAAGTTCTCAGCGTAGTTAAGGAGAGATCCGAACGATTTGGATTTCTTAAAATCAAAAATTTACATTTTTAAACTTCAATTTTTTGTGTTTTTCGCTTATTTTCGACTAGTACTGTTATATTTTTTTAAAAAGTAGAATATAAGTTTTTTTTGTATAATTTATTATTTTTTTATAAATATTTTTATAACCAAAGCATCAAGCAAAACAAAACTACCACTAAAATACACAAAACGCTATATATATATATATATATATATATATATATATATATATATATATATATATATATATATATCTGTGTGTGCGTGCGTGTGTGTGTATGTGTGTTTTTGTATGTGCATGTGTATTTATTTAGTTGTAAAAGAAAACAGAAGATGATGAAGTTTTATTGAGGTGATCCACAGAAAAAGAACATCATATGATTGTGGTTAAAGAACTTCAACCTAACCACTATGGCAAGGAATATCTTACTGTCAAAGTTTTACCTCTTGTTGCAGCAGCAGTAAAAAAAATAAGCTCAGAGCCTTTATGAAGTTCTTGAACAGTATGACTCTTTAATCACTCTAAAAGCTATTCTAGTAGATAATACTCAATAAATACAGGTAATTAAGCAGGAATGGTTGCAGAGTTAGAGAAAAAAGTTTGCCAAAAACTTCACTCTATAGGCTTTTACCTTCATCAGAATAAGTATTCTTTATTAAAGCAATTGATAAAGTCCCTTCATCATTTTGCAGGACTAATAGAAAAAATGGCTAATACAGACAACTTGATTTAGTTGTTAATTTTGGTGTTATATTAAATTTCAAATTACTGACATTGTTTTAGAAAAAGAAATTTTAGATGATTTAAGTAAAGACCAGAAACTTTTATATAAATATTGCATTACATATTCAAGTTAGAAAATTGCTACTATGAATTATTGTTAGTTAACATTGGTAATATAATTGATGTTTCTGTATGTGTGAGTACTAGTTCCAGACTCAGGGTTATTATTTTGATAACCTATATTATCCAAGCCTATGTTCCTACATGGTTCCGCCATAAAGAGCGTAATAGGTTGGATGAAGCTTCATCAATCATTTATTTTATGATAAGTCAAATTAAGCTCCAAGAAAAAGAAGTGCAAGAGATTTGCTTACCAAACTTCAGCTTTGATACTTCTTGCCTTTATCCAGAGAATTATTTGTACTCAATGTTAAAGTTAAAGTTTGCATAATCAATAGCTTTGTGAAAATTATTTGAGATTAGAAATCAAAAAAAACTTTGACCAACTGACATATATGAACCAGCAAAAACTGAAGTTTTTATCGATGAGAATATTGTAGAAAAGTTACTTTCTGGAAAAAAATTACAGATACTTTACCTTACAGATTTTCTTGATTTTAATGCTGATTTTAAGTAACATTCAATATATAATATTTGTGTTTTTTAATAAAATCCAGACCATATTTTGTCAGAGAATATTGTTATTATGATTTTTACTTTAAGAATAATACTAAAATTTAATAGCAAAAAATAAAATATATTAAAATATATTCAATAGATTTTTTTTGTTGTTGCCATAACTGTAAAGTCTTTTTTTTTTCATTTTATTTTATGTATCAATTAATTAAGTCCCGAATTTGCAATACAATATCGAAAACGCCACAGCAAATGTTGCAATAGAAAGTTTAAAATCAAAATTTTCTAATCAATGTTCTAATCAAAGTTTTAAATAAATTCAAAGTCAAAAGCATTGGCACAGAAGTTCTAACTCTGCAAAGTTTTTCAATCTAGATATATTTTTATATATTTGTCTTTTATATTATGTCTGGCAAAGGTTTTTCGATTTAGCTATATATTTTTAAATTAGCAAATAAAATGTAATGAAAGAAGAAAGTTCTTGTTGTTTATCAACATTAAAATACAAAAAAAGTTGTCACATTAAAATAATACTTTTTAATTTTTAGGTTGAAGAGCTTGAAAAAAAAAAAGTTGAACATAAAGACAAAAGTTCTTTTGTTACTCAAATCGAAGAAAAACAAAGATTGCACATAAAAAAGTTAGAGTTGGAAAAAAAAGAGCTTCATGAAGTAACTTAAGTCTTTAAACCTTTTTTATAATATATAAATACAATATATTTTTTTATAACCACACTGAACACTAATAATACTTTTTCATTACAAACAATACAAAACATGAATAAAAGAGATTATAATACTAGAAGTCTTAAAACTAAATATTTGGATTTTAAATATCTATTGATCTATAATGCTAAGTTTCAATTAATTATCCTTTATCATCAATCTTTTTTCAATTGACAAATCTAATTTCCTTTTGCAATACAGTTTGGAACAATTAGTTTAAATAACAGAGCAATTCAATGTTAACAGGAGTCTTTTAGTTTTATTAATAAAACTAAAATACTCCTGTTAACATTTATTTTAAATACTATTGAAGGCTTTTTTCCTCTTTCTATAGCAACTTCATATGTATAACTTCATTTGAATAACTTCATTTGTATAACTTCATATGTATAACTTGATTTTACCAGTTCACAAATGGTAGCAAAAATTGTTGGTAGCAAATGCTAGCAAAAGTTGTTGGTAGCTAATGGTAGCAAAAATTGTTGAAAGTGGATACAAATGCTAGGTATTAAAAAAAACAAGTTGAAACTTTTGATAAATTTTCATGGAATATATTTTCATGCTGATGGAGGTGCTAAACCATTGTTGTTCTAAGATACATATTGCGCAATTCATGTTGAAGGAATATACATGTGAACAAATTACAGAGAAAAGAGAAAACTTCAAAATAGAAGAACAGACCTTTGTATTACTTGTCTGAATACACAGAAAAATAAAACATATGCGTAATTCAGATGGGCATAAAAGGTATTCAATGGTATGCAAGATTTAAATTAAAAAAATTTTCTGAGTGGTCTAGTAATGGCTCATTTGTAGTGTAAAGATGCTTGAGTTCATAACCTACAATGAAGTAAAATTTGCAATTGTTAGAGCTTAGATACATTAGTTCTAATAAGGTTTTCAGATGCATAGTAACCAACCAAAGCTAGGGCTTCATTCCCAACTAAATTATTACTAAGTAAACAGAAAACTGTTTATTTATTTAATACCCTAATAATTATGACAAAAATGAACTAAAATCTAAATCACTTAAAACCTTTCATAATTTGAATTAAAAAGTTTTTTAACAATTTTGTTGTTGTCTTGTGCATCAAAAACAATTTGTTTTTTTAATCAATCACATTTCTAATGTTTTATTACAATGCTTGTTTAATAAATAGTTTGAGTTGTTGAGCTAAACACAAATCAGCTTATTTCTTATATCATTTGTACTCTAGAACTAATCTTGAAGATCCCCAAAAAAGAGTTCAACAAAAGAGAAAATGTTTTTACTGAGTTGCTAACTTATAGAATACAGTATCTGATCCATATCAGCAACTACATTATTTTATAAAACAGGAATGAATTAATAATCTGCTGTAAATGCTACAGTAGAATTTAGCACAGAGGGAGCTGGTATGTCCTTCTTTAACTGAAAAACTAATTTAAAGTATCGCCAACCAAGTTTTAAAAATTATTTTTGTTTACATTCTGTTTGCCATTTTTAGCTGAATTATATCAAATTCAAATTTAATTTGTCATTTTTCATAACAATTTATTGATTTATTTTCATTTTTATATTATTACTGATGAGTTCTTTGTCATTGTCAGAACTACTATCAGATGGTTGAAATAATTGTTAACTATTTAATCTCTCATTCATCACTGGTTCCCTAATCTTTTAAAAAAAGCACTTGTTAACTGATTCATAAAAAAGAGTCATAGCTTGACTGCAAAAACTACAGCCCAATATCATTTATATCAAAAATCAGCACAGTTCTTGAAAAATTAATGTATTCTCATATCTACGACTTTCTTAATAGTTCTAAGTATATTTACCTATTTAAATTTTGTTTAAAACACTTTTCCTCTTATGCTCTTATTAGCTTTACTGAATTGATATATAGTGAGATTGATTATGGTTCGTTTGCATGTGGCATCTTTATTGATCTCCAAAAAGTTTTTGAGCACAGTTTGACATCCAGTTCACCACAAGGTTCTAATTAAAAACTTGTATTATTATGGCATATAGGGTATTTCTAATGTTTGGTTTTCATTGTTTATTCAAAATTGTACTTAGTTTGACTCAGTTAATGGGTTTGAATATGGTGTCCCACAGGGTTTTGTTTTGGGGTTTTACTGTTTTTAATATATATTAATGATTTGTCTCACTCTATAATTGCTCATCATTTTGCTGATGTTCATCATTTCTCTGATGACACTAATTTCTCTGATGACACTTCTATCCATTATTAAAACATGCTGGCAACTTTTTAAAAATATAATTCAGATCTCCATCTTTTATTTCATTAGTTAAATAGTATCCATATTTCTCTAAACATCAATAAAACTGAATTTATTTTTTTTTACCCTCCAAAAAAAAAGATAATGTGAAAATTAAAATTAGCATTAAAAAACTTTTTTTATCTAAGTATATAAATCTTGTTTTTTTGACAAAAGTCTATCATGATACCATCAACTGATTCAATTAAATAAAAAACTCACAAGTCATTTGTATGTTGTCTTTAATACAACATTTTGTATCTCAACATACTCTCATATCAATTTACTACTTCTTATCATCCCATCTGAACTAATTACATTTTTTGGGGTTTTCTATTAAATACAAGAATTTAATAGAAAACTTCTTTTTTGACCCCAAGGTGGAAATACAACCTCTTGTTTTTTTTTTTTTTGAAAAAGTGTTTCAAAGGGGGTGCCGCTAAAACTTATGTTACTTTTACAATATTTGAAATAATTTTATAAAAAGATTAAAGACGATAATAAAGTTTGCTTTTGACTCAAAATGTTGGATTAATAGTCGGGCAAAATCACCACATATATAATTTTTTGTGTGCATATTTATTTTCTAATTGATTCTTTCATCTTAATGAAAATTTTCTATTTACTTCAAGGTTTGAAATCAATAAACTGCAATACATTTGCTTACTCTGTGATTTAAGAGAAACAAAATACTTATGTGACTGTAAAGGTAGTTTAACAGAAACAAAAGCATTTTAAATTCAAAGTATTTTAAAACAAGACACAGTTTCTGCTCCTGATCCCTAACTGGTTGCAACTGTCTTAATTTCTTAATTAACATAGTTGTGTAAACACTTTTCCTCCTCTTCGCTTAACAATCCTTTTTTTCTTTTTGTTTAATAAAAAGAAGTACATTAAGCGAAAATTTTCTTTACAAAGCAAGCATGAAACTCAAAGGAAAATAAATTTATATAACTAAAATGCTCACTTATTTTAGCAGAATAAAATAACTAAATTACTGATCTTTTTATTATGCATGCCATTCTTTTACTCCTGATTCCATTCTCTATCTCAACAAATCTCATATTCATCTATGTATGGAATACTGTTGTCATATTTGGGCTGGTTTCTCTAATGATGCTCTTTCTCTTTTAGCTTGAACCTTTTTCTGATTGCTATAAAGTTGCATATCTTTCTCTTTTCCACAAATACTGTTGCTGATCGAAGGAGCTATCATCTTGCTTGACTCATCATTCTGCATAGTCTCATCTTTTTATTGTATCTGTCCCTGCATGCTCTAAAAAGTTTTATTGATCTACTTTTTTCTATGCACTTCATCCCTTTGGAACTCTATCCCACCTTCATGCTTTCCTGACTTATACAACCTACAATTTTTCAAGTCGTCTGTGAACCGTTTCCTTGCTCTTTAACTTTATTCTTTGTTTTCTAGTAACTTGCAACTTTATAGTGGTTGCTTGCAGACTTGTTGGGATTGAATCAGAAAAAAAAAATTTAAAAAAATTTTCTATTAAAAAGAATTGGTTGGAACTTATAAAAAATACTAAATATGAAAAAGTTTTTTATTAATGGCTATATTATCAATAACATTAAAAAGTTTATAATAATTTTTAAGACTATTTTGCAATATAATGATTACTTACAAATAATCAACCTTCATATATTGTAAAGGATTTAAAGAAGAGTTTTCTTATAAGACCCTATGTTAGTTTTGTATTTTTTTTAATGATCCTCACACTCTATCTGCAGTTATAGTCAACATCTAAATGCTCTTATGAAAGCATTTTTTTAAATTAAAATAAATATAAATATCAAGACTCGCTATATCTTTGCTCTGACATCCACTCATAATTCTCATATCACTCATTACACTTGTAGCGCTTCTGCTGTATGAGAATATTCAGCTTTTATCACCCAACATTTCACTTGCTCTCACATTTTCATTATTAAATTAATATAAACCAGTCTAAAGTCTTACATTCATTTAACAATAATTTATACACCTCTAACAGTATTCCCAACATAATATGCTAAACAAAATTTATACAGCTCTAACAGTATTCCCAACATAATATGCTAAACAAAATTTATACACCTCTAACAGTATTCCCAACATAATATGCTAAACAAAATTTATACACCTCTAACAGTATTCCCAACATAATATGCTAAACAATAATTTATACACCTCTAACAGTATTTCCAACATAATATGCTAAACAAAATTTATACACCTCTAACAGTATTCCCAACATAATATGCTAAACAATAATTTATACACCTCTAACAGTATTCCCAACATAATATGCTAAACAATAATTTATACACCTGTGACAGTATTTCCAACATAATATGCTAAACAAAATTTATACACCTCTAACAGTATTCCCAATATAATATGCTAAACAAAATTTATACACCTCTAACAGTATTCCCAACATAATATGCTAAACAAAATTTATACACCTCTAACAGTATTCCCAACATAATATGCTAAACAATAATTTATACACCTCTGACAGTATTTCCAACATAATATGCTAAACAAAATTTATACACCTCTAACAGTATTCCCAATATAATATGCTAAACAAAATTTATACACCTCTAACAGTATTCCCAACATAATATGCTAAACAAAAGGCACTTCATTTTCTAAATTATGAGAAACATCACAGGAGCAATAATTGAATAAAGATTACGTAGACTTCTTAAGTTTCCACCAAGTCTACCTACACAAGTTTTCATTGTGAGCCCCTTACAGAGATAATATTGTTTTTTATAGGATATCATAACTAGGAGTTGTGTGAGGCATAGAGACACAGCTTTATAGAGGTTTTAACTCAACTAGGTCTGTAGAACTAGGAAAACTAGTAAATGAACCCCGGCAGTGAAGAACCCAGACATGTTTTAGTACCGTTTTACCGGTATGGGCGCCCAAAAAAAAGTGCCCAATTAATGTACAACCAGTTATTCTTTTTTATTATAAAAAAATATGAGTTGTTATATAACTTTATATAACGTTATATTCGTTTTAAAAAAAATGAATTAAAACATCTTCCAAACCTACATCACGAACATAACGGAATGTTTTAAAAATTTAACGACTTGAAAAAAAAAAAATTTAAAATTCCAAAAAATATAAATCAGTGTATAGAAAAAAAAAAACAGTGTATATAAATCAGCGTATAAAAAAAATATAAATCAGTGTATAAAAAAAAAAACAGTGTATAAAAAAAAAACTATTAAATTAACTACATTTAACTTCAATATCTCTTTTTTAAAAAAAAAAACATGTTATTGTATATACTACATAATGTATTTACGTATTGTATATACAACGAAAGTGTTTATTTTTAACAATTTAACTATTCTTAAATAAAAAAGTTTTCTTAAAGTAACTTATATAGCGGCCAACGGCGAAGTTTGTATATAAATAACTAATTAAAATAAAATAAATATAGCAACTTCATAGCTTCGGATAAACACTAACTTAAGTGAAATTTAAAAAACAGCAATGGCGGTGCCGGTGGAGGCACGAAAGTAGGGTTAAAAGAACTTATGTAGTTTACCTTTTATATTATTTTTATATTATGTTTATACATTATTTTATAATGTATAAATATAATATAATATAAATTTTTTTTAGGCGACACCCCCCCCCCCCCTAGTTGCTGCGATCTATAAAAACCGGCATCCCCAAATAAACTCTGGGTTCTTCACTGCCCGGCATATTAAAACATGGATGAAATGAAAATCCCACCTAAGAACAACTTAAATTTTTTGCCTTATAATTAAAAATCTGTTAATTTTTTAAAATGTTTTTAATATAATGTTTTTAATATAAAAAAAATATATATATAATGGTCAAGTTTAAAGATAATATTCTCATGACAATCATTTTTTACATATCAGGGATTCATAGAAAATAGTTTCTATGTGTCAGAGCTACATATAAAATAAATGAACATTATACACAGATCCAGAGGATTTTAATTTGAAAATTTCAAAATGGAATTTCTTGTGCTTTTCTCCTTTATCTCAAGAAAAATAGAGCAATACCTCTTTGTCAAAGCCAATATCAGAGTTAAGATCGTGTCAAATTTGAAGATTTTTAAAAACTTGAAATTGTCAAATTCTATTAAAGTCACACAAAACACACTAGAACATAGTGCTTCATTCACAGATGGATAAAGCAAAATAGACTTTACAGTAACATGTTATTTATGGGCATGCATTTTCTGAATTTTTGTTCTTGTCATGTTAATTAAAATTAGAATGTGTTTAATAAAAATACTTTGGTGTTAGGTCAACTATGCTAAAACATAAACATGAATAGTAATATAGACTATTATTTTTTTAAAGGCTTGGTTAATTGTCTATAGTAAACAAATAGGACTTACAGAAAAAACAAAACAGAACAAACAGAATAGTTTTTGTTAAACATCTTGAGTAGTTCAGCAGATAATTTTTTCTGCAATCTTTAAATAATAGCCTTTGGTTGCTAAAATGATTAACTCAGTATATCAATTTACTGTTGGATTTTTTCACCTGTTAATTTGTTTCCAAATAACTTTTCCAATTAATAAAGAAACTGTTCATGTTTTATTACTAAATCTCTTATTGAGCCAAGTATGATAGTATTATCAAAAAAAAATACAGCAAACACTTTTGAGGCTTGTTCTTTTAAGATCCAAAATGTTATATTTAAAAGAATAAAACCAGTTACTCCAATAAAAGATTTTTTTCTGTGGATAAAATACATTCTAGAAAATTTTATCAGTCAAACAGTTTGATCAAGTTGACTAGAACAAATATTTTTTTTTTCACATACTCACTAGAATTGTTACTCATTTGTTCTAATCAAATATGTAACTTGTCAATTAAAAGGTGATTGGTATAAATATTGATACATTAAGATAACATTGATGCAATAAGTAATACATTAAGATAACATTGATGCAATAAGTAATACATTAAGATAACATTGATGCAATAAGTAATCAGGGTTGGAAAAAACCCAGGGTTTTTTAAAAAAACCCAACCCAAATGGGTTTTTTGGGTTTTATTGGGTTTTATGGGTTTTTTGGGTTTTTTTAAAAATCGATCAAAATACCAAATTTTTATAATTGTATGAGTACAATAATTTTTTTTTTTAATTTCATAAATTCACCTCCCTATTGCTCCAACGACCATTTCAGTCAAGGGAGCAACTCATTTTTTAAAAATATTTTGTCTCAATCCTTAACATTACCATTTTTACTAACAAACAACATTAACAACTAAAATTTTTAAACAAAGGCGCTGTGTGGAGAAATAGATTGAGACAGTAATTTCAGCAGAGGTAATTTGAACCCCAACCTTCTGGTTGCGAGCCAAATGTTTTACTGCTAGTCTACTAGCACATTTTACCTATAGTGCAAAAAGGGACTCCATCAACTATAAATGATGTTAATTAATTGCTCTAAATTAAAAACATGTTCAGAATATTTTTGACTAAAAAAAAATCAGTGTAAAAATTATTATGACAATTGAGTTATTCAAAGTTGGTAAGACAATATAAATGTTGCAAACTAGTTTTTTTTACTAACATGTTCAACATATCATTTCAAAAACTATTTTGCACAAGTTTACAACATGTAATCAACAAGTTTGCAACATGATGTTGCAACCTTATAAGTTATTATCAATCAGGATGACTATGAACACTTTTTAAGCATTTTTGTATCATAGAAGAAAACTGCTAGCCTAATCACTACATTTTTTTTTGTCAGAACATTATACTGTCCAGCTTCCTGGAAAAGTTATCGGCCTGATCAACTGGACTGGCAAAAAATGAATTTTTGCCTAAACTTTGCTTCTAAAAATATCTAAAATAAATTTGTTAAGAACCATTACAGTGTCTTCGCCACCAAGTTTTTTTTTTCCTTGAAGATGTTTTACCAGCTCAGTTTTGCTATGCAAATTGCAAACTGAATCAAAGTAACACATTATATAGCCCTATTGTGTGTGTGTTTCTTCACCTTTTAGCAACTTGATACTGATGTTAATTTTCAACCTGCTGTTCATAGTCACCCCTGTTGGTGGTACATGTTGTAAACTTGTAGCTGATGCAAAATATTCAAAACATGTCAAAAGACAGATGAGCACAAGTGTCGTTTTTACCAACAAATTTTGTCCTTGTGAAATGCATACAAGTTTTCAACATGTTCTCTCATTGAATGAGCAAACATGTTGCAAGCTTGCTTGCACATAACTTATTTTTTTTAAGTTTTAAAGTTGTATGCACTTAAGGACAAATCTAGTAAACTGTAGCATTTTTTTTTTGCCTGACAACTTTCCATTTCTAAACTGTAAATAAAGTTTAATAATTTTTATATATAGTATTTTGCTTGTGGCTATGTATTTTTTTTTTTTGCAGTTTACAACATAAGCTTTAAAAAATAAAAGATCAAATACCAATATAAAGGAATATAGACATTCGAGAGGAGAATAAAGATACTAAATAACTAGTAATGTTTTGTACTTTGAAATTTAGTTAATAAAATAATTTTTATTTCCTTTATAAGTATTTAACTAATTTAATGTTTTAATACATATTTCAATAACATTTATAATAACTTGCTAAATGTTTTAAAAAAATAATAAATAACCAACTTGCTACAAAAACAGATTGATCGATTTTGGGTATATTCTAAAGACCATTATGTATATAAATACAGTGTTTACAAGAGTAATTACAGTATAAAGGTTGCACTTGCTGATAATAAAGCATTTATAAGTGTTAAAATCAGCGTTATCAGTTGTAAAATAGGTCATTTTTAAAAAAACCCAAATATATTTTGGGTTTTTTAGGTTTTATTGGGTTTTTTTAAGGTGGGTTTTTTTGGGTTTTTTGGGTTGGGTTTTTTTGGGTTGGGTTTTTTTGCCAACCCTGTAAGTAATACATTTAGACAACATTGATGCAATAAGTAATACATTAAAGCAACTTAATAACTTTGAAAACAAAACTTTTCTTAGGTTAAACAAATAGAAGTACATTTATAGGATTTTTATATTTTTTTTAGTATTTATCATGTTTTTTATTACTGTATATAACTTGTAATGTTACTAATTTTTAAATTAAAATTCTAATACAAAATTGAAAAAGACATGATAAAATTCTGATACTCTCTATATTTTAGAAGCAGGAAAAGCAGTTGCAAGTTGTCACTGAAGAACGTGATATTTTTAAGGAGAAAAATAATGCTGCTCGTATTCGCAATCAAGTCCTCTCTCTTGAGTTGAAGAACTTAAAAGACCAATTAAAAGTCTGTAAGGAAAAAAATCAGCATGATGATGATTTGATAAGTGCATTGTTAGTGAGTCTATTGTTATTTTTTGTTTGCATATCAATTCTATAATACAATCTGTGATGTTATTTTTCGGGCTTAGTCCTTGCTGTTTTTAGGACATATTTTGATGTACTTAGCTTTGGTTTTTTTATTCAAGTCTAGCCTTGTTCTCAGCTTTGTTCTATTTATTTAAGGTTAAACATATACATTATTGGTACTTTACATATTGGTATATTATTGGTATCATATGCCAATATAGAAATACCATAATACATTACTTTGAAATGTATTATGGTAAGTACCAATAATATGGCCACAACACTTTTAATAATATTTACAGGCAAATAGCATTCACTACATAGTTTATCATTTCAGTCATTCACACTCACATCAAGGTTTAATGGTGAAACCAGATTTTTGTTTTACCTTTATGCTTATACCAAATTAACCAAGGTTAATTTGGTATAAGCATAAAGTTCTAACTTTATTTGCTAACAGTTTATAACTATATCTGCTAACGGTTTATAATCATATAATAATCAAGTTTAGTAATATAATATAATAATTATAATATAATAATGAAAACTTAATTATTTCAGTATTTTAACTATAATTGTTTATGGGACACAATGATGTGATCATACTTGACTAACAGAGTCATCCAGTTAAATAATAGACATCCAGTTAAATAATAGACTTATAATAATCATAATATAATAATGAAAACCTAGTTCAGTATTTTAACTACTATAAGTAGCTTTCATAGTATCATAGTATCAACGTATAATATAAGTATCTTTTGTCTTATCTTAACACTGTATATAAAATTATGTAACATTAACAACCAAGAAACTTTAAAAAAAGAAACAAACAAAGAAAAAAATTTAAAACTTGATTCTTTTTAATTTGTATATCCAGTGACTTTTTTTGATTAATATATACTTGGCTATTAGATACTGGCAATAATAATGGTTTCTTGGTTACTAAATGTAAATTTTTTCTATCAGCAACAAGAAACTAATTTTGCAAGAAAAATAATTTACTTATGCAAAGGCTTGGAAAAGTTTGCTATAATTCACAAAAAGGCCTTAGTTAGCTTTTAACCATGAATATTAATGAACAAACCAAAAAGACCTTGGTTAGCATTTCGCCATGAATATAAATGAATAAACCAAAAAGGCCTTAGTTAGCTTTTAACCATGAATATTAATGAACAAACCAAAAAGACCTTGGTTAGCATTTCGCCATGAATATAAATGAATAAACCAAAAAGGCCTTGGTTAGCATTTAGCCATGAATATTAATGAACAAACCAAAAAGGGCTTGGTCAGCATTTAGCCATGAATATATTAGCTACATGTTACATACGTAAAAAAAAAATTAATAAATTATTAACCTTCTTTTTATATTGTTTTTTTTTTTTTTCTGCTTTAAGTGACTTCATAGGAAAATAATAGTTAAACTTTTTTACAGGGTGATCAAGAATATCTTAAAGATGAAAACAGTAGACTCAAGCAAAAGATAAAATCAAGACAAAGTTCCGAGAGATTACATAAAGTTCAAGGTGATACAATGTCTGAAAACTCAAACTTGATTGTTGAGAAACTTAAGTCTGAAATGGTGCTTCAAGAGCAAAAAGTAGAATATCTTGAGCAAGAAATATCACTTCTTAAATTAGATCGTTGTTCTTCAACAAAAAGTTTATTAACTAGTCCTCCATTAACTCATGGGAAAAAGATGTTTGCCAGTCCTCAAAGACAATCTTCTAAGTATTCTTTTTTAAATCAATAAGATAAATTGTTTAAAAAAGTATTTATTAAAATTTTTATTAAAAGTCCAGGATTGTGTTTTGTAAGGATCAAAAAATTACTAAAAACATTTAAACATAATAAAATTTTCTAATGTCATATACCTAACAACAAAATTTGCAAAATTTGCAAAAAAATCAAGTTATTTATATTTTATTTTATTCTCTTATTCTGTTCACTAGGATGCATTAAAATTTCACTAGGGTGCATTAAAATTTCACTAGGGTGCTTTAAAATTTTACTAGGGTGCATTAAAATAGGATGAAAAAAGAAATAATTGGAATTATGATATGTAATAGCAATAAAAAGTTGTCCTACAATTTAGTTATAACAAATTAAAAAAAAATTAAAAATTTTAGGACCTTTGATTTTCAAAGAGACTCAAGATACTAAAACTTGTACTTTTTTTGAAAATTAACTTTTACCTCTTTTCTTCCATGTATATAATTGTAATATTTTATAATAAATAATATTATAAAATATATAAATAATATAATTTTATAATATTTATTATAATAAGTAGTTTTATTATAATATTTTATCATATTTAATAATATTTAAAACTAATAGTTTCATAAAAAGAGCTACTAAAACTAAAAAGTTATCAATGTTTATTTATCAACAATATTTTATAAATAAAAATTGATAGAGTTAATTCAAATTGATTTTTTTTCAATTTTGTTCTATTAGTTTACTTATTAGTATGTGGTATTAAATTATAGATATATGATTTTAAAATTATAACTATGTGGTTTTAAATTATAATTATGTGGTTTTAAATTATAAATGTGGTTTTAAATTATTACCATGTAGCTTTAAATTGTAAGCATGTGGTTTTAAATTGTAAGCATGTGGTTTTAAATTATTAGCATGTGGTTTTAAATTATAAACATGTGCTTTTAAATTATAAATATGTAATTTTGAATTACTAGCATGTGGCTTTAAAGTTCTTCTGCAACTATTGTAATTCAATTAATTATTATTTGCTTGATAAGCAAGAGTTGGAACCAAGCATTTATAACTAGGGACCCTGTATTAAAAATAGCAAAAAAGGTTTTTGTAAATATTGAAATAACTTGATTGAATCATTGGTTACAATAATATTACATTTGCAGGTATTAAAACTAATCAAGATTTATATCAAGCCAGTTAAGCTATTAAAGATCGGTTGTAATGACAAGAGGTATAAAGAGAAATACAAATCAAAAATTTAAAGCTTCAGAATTAAGAGCAATTTAAAACTATTTGAGATATTAGCATTCAAGTTTGTGTAGAACAACTCTCTCTGCAGTAAAGAATATTAGGTTTCTACTGCAGAAAAAGCATTTTTAGCAACAGCTTCTCTTATTATTTGTTAGCAAAGAAGACAAAATGACAACAAAAGAACTCATACGAATTCAGAAGAGAAAAACTGACGAAGTTTTAAAATTATATGATACTAGTAAACATTGTGCATATTTGATGTGTCACATGTTTCACATGTAGGAAAATAACTACAGTGGTTTGTATGTTAGCTTGTTGTCATTTGCAACAAATTGTCACTGTGCCATATGTTTCAGTACCTTTGATGGTCAAACAACTGGTTGCTATGCATTTGGTGGACCTATTGGTAAAACATTATCATTATGCAAACAAATCACTGTAATTCATTTTGAAAAATTATATGTTAATTTTCCTACAGTAGAGTTAGGAAACTTCAACTTAATTCAAATATATAATTACGGAAAATCACAATTGCTTTCTCTCTTTATTACTCATTATTATTGGCACAATGGCTCCCAGGAACACTGAATTATTCAAGGTAGCTAACAATTGTTATCTATCATAAACCTAAAACTAATAACGATAGTTATCTATCTCAATTTAAGAGGCGTTAGAACAGTTAAAAACCTAGTACATTTATATTTTTTGTGTTTATGCTCCAATGCGGTTTTACATAAAGTCTAAATCTTGTGAGCATAGAGCAAGGTACCTGTGAAAAACAGTTAACTTAATACATTATCTGACAGCTAAACATACAGTATAAGATATATATATATATATATATATATATATATATATATATATATATATATATATATATATATATATATATATATATATATATATATATATACATTATCTGACAGCTGAACTCAAGTTCATTTTCGATTTTGTTTTAAAACAAAATAACTACTTTCATTTTCAATTTTGTTCTGAAAAAAAATTACTAATTTCAGTTTTGATTTTGTTTAAAAACAAAAAACTACTTTCATTTTTGATTTTGTTTTAAAAAAAAAACTTCTTTCATAAAAATGCTCATTATTAAATCATTCATAAAAAAAAAAGTTTTTTAAGCAAAGTTACAGTTATTGGATTCAGACAATTTATTTTTCTTAAACTAAACTATGATAGTACCAATCAACCTCAATTTATCAATTTGATAATTCTAAACCAAAAGGCAATTTTTGATTGCTAGGCTTCTTTTTTTTTTTACAATTGTTGTCATATATATATATATATATATATATATATATATATATATATATATATATATATATATATATATATATATATATATATATATATTTATATATATATATATATATATTTATATATATATATATATATTTATATATATATATATATATATTTATATATATATATATATATATTTTAACTTAAATATAAATATATAATTTATTATTAAAATATATATATATTTTAATTGCCCCTATTAAATATGTATATATTTATTTTTAGTGAAATATTGTTTCAAATACAAGGATTTATTTAATGTGTGGCTAGAAAAAAACTCAAATGCATATGATCATGTAATTCAAATAGTTTGAACCAATAATGTTTAAAGGAAAGTTCTTTTTGCAGTTTTTTTAAACAAAAATTGCTAAAATGTCATTTAACAATAAACAGATGTAAAAGTAATAATTCATATTGATTGAGTGAAGAAATTACATTATTTAATAATGTAATTTCTTCAGTCAATATGAATTGTTTACTTATGATGCAATTTTTTTTTTTTTTTTTTTTATAATTTACAATACCACAAATCTATTACAATTTATGTCAGTTTCACCTTCTGCGAAATCATTACCTCTGTAAAAAATTTCATTAGATCTTTCAATGTCACTCAAAACTAACTTGTAACTCAAGTTTGTCATTTTTTATTGTGTTTTTTTTTTGTTTTTTTTGATTTCTGACCTTGTTTTCTTAATTTTTTTTTCCTCAACTTTTTGCTTATTAGCTTTGCTTTATTTTGATTAACCGGTAAAGATTCTTTCACTGAAATATCTGTTAAAATGCTGAAGGCAAGTTTCTTTCTGACTTGGTTGGTTGCTGTTTTTCTTATTCCAGCTTTAGATAATGGTTGTATAGTAGCAGGAGTGAAGATAGACAATCATTTTAGTTTTGTTTGTTATTTGTAATTTTAATTGTACTTCCATCGTTTTGGACATTGCAGTTTGTTGGTCCACTCAAGAAGTTGAACATTGTTGCTGGTCTATCAGTAAAAATTGATTAGACAATCTTTATCTTAAGATTAGTAATTTGTTATTATTTATTTGTTGGATGTATCAGGTACATTGCAACTAGTGGAATCAAGAGATGATATTGATGAAAAGTTCTTAGCAAACAGTTCAGCAACAGTTCAGCAACAGTTCAAACAGTTCAGCAAACAGTTCAGCAACAGCAAACAGTTCAGCAACAGCAACAGTTATTTGTCTTTAGGTGAGGTAACAAAATCTGAACCATATAAGAGAGGTGGAATAACAGATTTGCTTTTATTGTTGATACTGTTAAAGATTCTCCAGAAGTCATGAGACCTTAATTTTTAAGTTTCATGACCTGAGAATAGCAAACTTTGGCGTTAGACAAAACCTTTTTACAATTGTTTCTAGCAATAGTTCAGACTACTCTTTTATGTGCTTTCATTTAGCACCACTTCACTCTATCATCTTTCTCTTTGTTCTATATCGCTCTCCTTCATCTCAAGACTGCACTCTTACTGATGTTATTTCTGATCATATTGACTGAGCCCTCTCTTTTTATCCATCAGCAAATATTGTTGTTATCTGTGACTTTAATGTTTATCACACTGAATGGCTTATCAGCAAAACAATTCTCCAGAAAAAAGACGTCTGTTTATTACTACTAGGAACCATTGTAAAAAGGTTTTGTCTAACGCCAAAGCCCGCTATTTTTAGGTCATAAAATCTTGTTTTTCATCACAAAAATTAGGCTCTTGTGACTTTTGGAGAACCTTTAACAGTATCAATAAAGGGAAAAACTATTATTCCAACTCTATTGTATGGTTCAGACTTTGTTACCTCACCTAAAGACAAAGCTGGACTGTTTGCTAAGAACTTTTCATCAATATCATCTCTTGATTCCACTAATAGCGTTCTACCTAATATAGCCGTCAAACAACCGTTGATCCATTGCTTGACATTCGTATCATTCCAGCTTCTGTATCTAAAGTGATTTTCTGCTTAAACTCTTCTTTAGCTTGTGGTCCGGACAACATACCTGTTATAGTCTTGCACAATTGTTCTTAGGAGCTGTCGTCTATACTTTCAAAACTATTCAACAAGTGTTTATCAGTATCTTGTTTTCCAGCATGATGGAAAGCGGCATCTGTAGCTATTATCCCTATTTTCAAAAATTCTGGAGATTTGATTCATCTAACTACCATCCCATTAGTCTTCTTCTTATTATTAACAAGGTTTTTGAACCTTTAATTAACAAACACTTTATCTCTTATCTTGAATCTAATAACTTACTTTCTGATCATCAATATGGATTTTGAACTTCTCGTTCTACAGCTGATTTGCTATCAGTAATAACCGATAGGTTTTATTGTACATTAGATAGAGGTGGAGAGGTTTAGGCTATCATTCCTGACATTTCTAAAGCGTTTGATAAAGTTTGGCATGCTGGTCTTCTCCATGAGCTTTCTTCTTACGGCGTATCTGGTAACATACTAAAGATTATTGAATCCTTCCTTTCCAGTCGTAGTATAAAAGTTGTCCTCGATGGACAGCACTCTTTTTCATATCCTATAACCTCAGGGGTTCCTCAAGGTTTAATCCTCGGCCCTATACTCTTTTTAATTAACATTAACAATATTCCAGATATTCTCCCAACTAAGGTGGCTTTGTTCGCTGATGACACTATACTATACTTGTCATGATAAGAAGCCAACGCTCTCTGATTGCCTGAAGAGGGCATTTGAGATTGAAAAAGATCTCACTTCTGCTACAGCATGGGGCTCACAGTAGCTGTTGAACTTTAATTCAGATAAATCTTAATTTTTTTCAACCAATCGTAATCGCAATAACTTAGATCTTCCTATATTTATGAACGGTGACATACTCAATGAGTCGTCTACCCGTCTGCCATATCTGGGGCGGATCTTTTAATGAAGCCCATTTTCTTTTAGACAAAGTGCAAAAACGCATTGTAAACATAGTTGGATCTGCTCTTGCAGTTAGCCTCTCTCGTGTTACTCGTCATTCAATTAAGTCTCATCCTTTTTCTGAGACTGTTCCCAAGTGCTCCAAAAATTCTTATTCCTCTAGTTATTTTCCTCGAACATCAGTTCTTTGGAATTTGCTTCCTTTATCTAGCTTTTCTGACTCATATAATTTGCAATCTTTTAAGTCGTTTGTCAATCGTTATCATTTTCTACAATCTTCATCATTTCTCAACCAGTAACTTTCAACTATAATAGTGGTTGCCTGCAGCTTTGTTGGAAGCGAAGATGCTAAAAAAAAAAAAAAATGTTTTTAAAACTGCAATTCTTTAATTACAGATTAGGGTAATATGAGTACATTGGTAATATAAGCATACTAAAAGATTTCAAAGATGTAAGCAATGAAATTAAAGTTGTTTTGTATTTTTTGAATCGATCTTAGGTGATGATAACAGGAATAAGTATAATTAGCGTAAATTTATATTCAACAATTAGCGGCTCTCAACTGATTAAAGCTGTATTAAATATTTTGGTCAGGCGCCAGACCTTCGAAACTCCCTAATGACAAATAATGGTCCTGATGAGAATATCATCTTGACACTACATAGGTAATTGGATATTAAAACATCTATATTTTGATCATTTACACTTCAATACAATTATGCTTATCATTCTAATATTTATACTGGTACTTCTAGAAGCTATATTTGTTGATTTATGCCTATGAGGTTATACTTTATTAAGATTGGGTCATTAAAACATTACTCTAACACCTATTCAACACAAAAAATGTGTGAAATAGCTATTGTAATGTATATAATACATGATATAATAAATGATTTAGGGATACTTTGGAATATATATGTATATATATAATCATAAGGATATATATATATATATATATATATATATATATATATATATATATATATATATATATATATATATATATATATATGTGTGTGTGTGTGTGTGTGTGTGTGTGTGTGTGTGTGTGTGTGTGTGTGTGTGTGTGTGTGTGTGTGTGTGTGTGTGTGTGTGTGTGTGTGTGTGTGTGTGTGTGTGTGAGCATACACATGTGTGTTTACATACATACTCATATGTGTCTGCATTAATACACATATAATCTTGTTTATCAGTGTGTGTATATTTATTTATATATGTGCTATAATGTATTTGTATATGTATTTGTATTTTCTTTAATGTATATGCATTTGTATATGTATTTGTATATATGCTTTAATATAATACTACTAGAGTCATACATAATATTTAATATACAACTCCAGCTAACCATAACCATTACAACTGCTGACTTCTACTGTCACCATACATGTTCTAAAATTTTGACTATCATGTACAATTTACTCTAACACTACTGTCAGGGTTATTATAATAATATCCTTACCATCTGATATCTACTTAAAAAACGAATAATTCTACTCCAGCTCTCTTTCATACAGCATCTGATAACTGATTAAGCAAAAAACAGGCCAGGATTTTCATAAAACGAATAATTCTACTCCATTTTAAATACTTCTTGTAACACCACAGTCACGTGATTTATGCTCCGTGATTCTTTTTTCTTATACAAAATACCAAACACTTTTTTATATTAACCTGTTAAACTACAAAACTCCATATGATTGTTATGTATTAGTGGTAATTTTTATAAAGATTATTAAAAATTTACATGTTAGTTTTTGTTGTTATATTAATGTAATTCTAGTTTAATATTTTAGATCATCTAGTTATAATAGTTTGTTTATTCTCCAGAAACACGTCATAGGACTACTAAAAATCACGCCTAGCTTATGTTACAATAACTTAAAGGACCTTTTACTATTTTTTATACTGATAACTCTTACTATTGAGGCATCCTACTACAAAAGTTACACACATAAACCACATTATCTATTTACATTACACATACCTAAATAAACTCAAAGCAGTTCACAACTCTCATTGACCCTTACACTTTGACAAAACACTTAATAAACACTCATGTCAAAAAACTACTTACTATTGTTTGCAAGTTGTACTGAACCCCGCGAAGTGTCCTCTGGTCCCAGTGCCAATTCAGGACTCTGTGGCAATCGTCCTAAATGGATACTCTGAGAATAGTCCTTTTGGGATAACACAATGGGATACCTTAAAAAGATACCCTGGTGTAGACCCAGAGTGAAACTTCTTTTGGGATACCAGTTTCGAATGAAAGCTGGAGGTCTTCATGTGTACATACTGCACCATAAGGCACGAATCCATGCTGTACTCGAGACGTTCATGACACTTATATCTATAATGTATGTTTATCACCCTAATAATACAAACCACATGGTGACTACTTATAAAACAAATAATTCTACTCCCCTACCAATTCTATCTATACATCACATTTTTGCTGGACTCTAACAACAATTTAGTAGCGCAACAACTAATGACTTTCCTTGACTATTGTTTATTATTTTTGTTTATTTTTTACTACATTTTACTTATATCAGTTTTAAATATCTTACCACTTTGAGGCTCTTTGTTTTCCATTGGATATCTGTCCTTTTGTACTTTTATCTCACTCTGCTAAACTCTTTTTAACTTATTATTCATCCTTAAGGCGTTGACTGCTCGGTGCAGCTTCACTAAAATGCATTGCATTTACAAAAAATAAATATTTTGGTAAATTACTTTTTGTCCTGGTTATTTCATTACCTGATTATTTTGATACTGAACTCCTACATAAAGGAATCCAAGGAGCACATATAAAAAAAAAAAATGATATTGATAAGCAAATAAGTTTGAGACATTACCAATTTTTTTGTCTAATAAAAAATCCAGACACATGTTACTTTATTATGACATTAATTGTTTTTTAATTATTTTAAATACATTTAAAATTAAAAAAAATCAAATTTGTCCGACATGTGGAGATATTCTCCATTTGTCCGACATGTAGAGATGCTCTCAATGATTTTGTAAAAGTACAGGATACTTAGTATAGCTTACAGCTTTATTCCACTTTATGTTTAAATGTGATTATTTGAATCCATTATATATCATTATTTGAATCCACCATATATCATTATTTAAATCCACTATATATCATATATCATACAGATATGATTTTTATGTAAATGGCAAATTCATGGTACTAATAACAAAAAATTTTATGTAAAAAAAAAATAATTACATAAATGGTTTATTACACCTTACACTGATTTATTACACTAATTTACACCTTCATGTGGATAAACCAAAAGTTCATAGTTATATATTATATATAACCTATAATACATAACTGTTAATATTATATTTTAATCATAAAATTTAGGTATAACATGTTTAGTACATAAATATATATTATAAGAAATAAAAATCATTGTGTTTAAAAGTAATGCCAAAAAATCAAGTCTCAGAAGCTATAGCGTATCCCTCTAAATATAGAGGAGCTTTGTAATTGTTTTTTTTTTATATATATATATATAAATTTTTTAGGGTATATTGTTTTCTCCTGTATTTTTACTTCTTTTGAGTAAATTTTAACAGTTTTTCTGCCATCAAATGTACAGAATATTTTTTTGTCCTTAATTACAAAATATTTAAGCGTTTCTATTTTTAGTCCACATGAACATCAGCTACATGAACACAGTCAACATGAACATCAGCTACATGAACACAGTCGACATGAACATCAGCTACATGAACACAGTCGACATAAACATCAGCTACATGAACATCAGCTACATGAATTAAAATGTTTGTATGATGTTGCAAATGTTGAGAAAGAAAAACTTTGTCAACTTGTTGATGTTTTACATAGAAGGTGAAATTAATTGTTGATTTGTTCTTTGTTAAAAATCAATTTTTATGAAAATGTAATAAAATAATATATTTGCAATACTTTATTATTAACAAACTTTTATGTGTTATAGAAGTTTTTAATTTTATTTTGTCAATGTTATCAAGTTAATTTTTAACATTGAATTTTTAACATTTAGTTTTTAACTATAAAGTTAATTTTTAACATTGTTTCACCATTACCAAGTGTTTGTTGCACCATTTGCAACACTTGGTTGTCTGTTGCAAAAGGATATCAGGCAACAAAGATTGCAATTGTTTTTTATTTTTATTTATACCATTTTCAATTGAATAACATTTTTCTAAAAGGTGCTAAGTCACATTTTTATTGTTTTTAGAAAAATATAAGAAAAACTGATTATCAGACAAAGTATTTTTTGAATATTATTAGTATTATAATTTTGAATAGAGATAAATAATTTTTTTATTCATACTAACATAGTTTAGATTTGTACTTTTTCAATTATAAAATCTGAATGTTGAAAAAACTCATATTTGGAAAAAATGAACTTAGCTCTCTTTTAGAAAAATGCTCTTCAATTGTTTTGTTGCTTTTTTAAGTACTTTTCAGATTTTTATTTCATGTGTTTTTATTTATTATTGCACAATTTCTAATGTGTTTTTCTTATTATTTGTTGTACCATTTCCTGGTGTGTTTTTTTATGACAAAATAAAGTAATTTTTTTTACAAAGATTTGGGTAAATCAGGTCAAGTTAAGTATTACATATTTTTACGGATTAAGATAATACAAGGCTAGTTAAGACAAATTAGGCTAGTAAAATATCTCAAAAACTATGCATTGCAAAACATAGTTGATGATGCATCTTTTCTATTTTAGAACAAAAAAACAAAAAAAAAATTTTCTCTTTGAAGCTTAATTATGACTATAATCAATTTTCTCTTTTATAAATATTGTAAAAATGAGGGTACTTGCACTTCTGACAATTCTAAGACACCTGGGAAGTACCTGGGAAATCAAGAGGCGCAAAAATTATTGAAGATAAGATTATCTTATCTATCTGATAAGATATCTTATTTATCATACATACATACATACATACATACATACATACATACATACATACATACATACATACATACATACATACATACATACATACATACATACATACATACATACGTACATACATACATACATACATACATACATACATACATACATACATACATACATATGTACATACATACATACATACATACATACATACATACATACATACATACATACATACATACATACATACATACATACATACGTACATACATACATACATACATACATACATACATACATACATACATACATACATACATACATACATACATACGTACATACATACATACATACATACATACATACATACATACATACATACATACATACATACATACATACATACGTACATACATACATACATACATACATAAATACATACATACATACATACATACATACATACATACATACATACATACATACATACATACATACATACGTACATACATACATACATACATACATACATACATACATACATACATACGTACATACATACATACATACATACATACATACATACATACATACATACATACATATAAATTGATAGATAAGACTAATTATTAATTAATAGGACTCAAAGCTCAAGATAATTGTATAAAATCATTTTTTTCTTATGATTAGATATATATTGAGAGAAATGCCACGAAAATTCAGCAACTATTTGGTATATTAGCATCTAATAGTTCTTAATATTCTTAATATTAAGAACTAGTTCTTAATATAACTGAATAGTTAAGTTTAGTGCTCTTTCTATCTCAAGAAAAAAGAAAAGATTGCTGCCCCATGCAAGAAAAGATTGCTGCCACCATAAATTGATGTAGGGACACTCCATTGTGGCAGCAGGCTATAAAATAGTCCATTTATGTACTGAATCCCTCAGCTTGCATGTTTAGATTAGCACAGGTGCACCAGTATGACCTCATCCTGCTTATCTAAACACATCTTTATAGTTGTGCATATATATATATATATATATATATATATATATATATATATATATATATATATATATATATATATAAATGCTCGTTTTATGCAAATTTTGTTTGCCTTGTAATGTCTTTTTTCCCTAATTATTGTAAATGACGCTTTGCGATTTGTTTTAATAAGAACTTCATAAAAATAAGTGTTCATAAAAAAGTAACTTAAAGTTTTTATAACTTTTTATACATCAAATTCAAAGAATGAACAGTAAAAAGAGAAGAAGTAAAAAGAAAGTTAAACACATTTAATGATAATTTAAAGAAAATGTTTCTTTTTTTAATGCAGATCAAAGATGAGTTTTTCAAATGTACTATTTGTCAAAGCCTATTTGACATTAGTAGTCCCGGACGGTCTGCAATTGAAGATCATTGCAAATCTATCAAACATAAAATGGCATTGGATGCTTCTATATCGTCAAACAAAATCACAAAGTCTATGAAGAGTCAGAGCTTTGGTCAAAATGAAAAAATATTAGCCATTCAAGAAGGAACAATTGTATTCCACACAATCAAACACAACCATAGCTTTAGAAGTGCTGGTTGTACATCAAAGCTAATTAAGAAATTTTATAATTTAAGATTTGCTTGTGCGCATACAAAATGCGAAGCAATAATTGTAAATGTTTTCAAGAAATATCGTGAAACTAACTCAGAAAATGCTTTATTAAAAGCATCATATGTGTTAATACTTTCTGATGCATCAAACCACAAGGATGTTAAAATGTATCCAATTTTGGCTCATTATTTTGATATTAAAGAGAGAGTGCAAATTCAGCTGATTAACATGGATTGTGTTAATGAAGAAACATCAGATATTTTTATCAAAAGTCATCTTTAAATGCAATAGTGATAACAATATTTCTTCAAAAGTTTTGGCAATTTTGCAGACAACACCAATACCAATTTAGGAGGTTTAAAACAAAATGGTAATAACAATATTCACAAAAAGTTAATTGTTAAGCTAAACTGTGAAATCATTGGTATCGGTTGCAATGCTCATACTTTATCAAACACAATAAACACTGTATTTGGTTGTTTATCTATTGATGTGGAGATAATTATTCCTTAAATTTATTTATTTTTTTACCGTTTTACTGTTTGAGTTTCTAGTTTAGAAAATTTCAGCCATGAGGCCAGCGTGGAGTATCAAAAATTGTTAGGATTCTCAAAAATTCGTTGGTTGGCCTTACTCCCAGCTATCGAAAGAGCGCTTAAGTTATATCAGCCACTAATATCATATTTTTTAAGCTTAGAAAATTGTCCGAAACTTTTATTTGACTTTTTCAATATCAAAATGGATGAAACAGTATTGTTTTTTGTTCACAGTTGAGCCAATGTTTTTTATCACAGAGTAAAAAAAGTTGAGAAAAATGATATTTCTGCTTCTGAAGTTGCAGTAGTATTAAAGACCAGATAAAATCTAGAAAAGAAGAAAAATTTCTACCTTTCATGGTAAGACAACATTAGAAAGTTACCGAAGAAAGTAGTCATCATTTGAAAAACCAATTTCTGAAGTAGACATTTTTTACTGTGTCTGTCTAGAGTATATAGATGAGTGGATGTGTCACTTTAATCAGGTTAAAGTTTTTAAATGGTCTTTACTTAACTGTAAAGTTGAATGGATTGAAATTATTGAAACTGTAACTTTTTAAAAATCAATAGAAATCACATTTGATGATAATGAATTGTTCGATGAAATTCAGAGAACTAATTTATATTGCACAAAGGAAAAGTTTTTTTCTTGGAACTCACAGTCTGTTGAATGTGACAAGCGATGGGTTAAAATTTTTCTCATTTCGAAAATAATCACTTTCCTTATAACAATTTGTTAAAATTGGTGGAAGCTGTTTTATGTTTTTCCAGGTACAAACGCTTACATAGAGCAATTGTTATTGATTGCCAATGAAATTTGGATGGAAGGGAAATCCCAACTTACAATAAAAACTTTGGCAGCTATTTTGTTTGTTAAATTTAATTTAAGAAAATATAGCTGCTCAGAATTTGCTGAAAAAATTGAAAAAAAAGATGACATGTTGCTGAAAACAACTTATGATTCTTATGATTAATATTTGTGATTCAAATATTGTTTAATATTTTTTCCATAATTAGTTTCTTGACATGCTATTTTAAAATAAATAAACGAGTTTTTATTAAAACCCATTTAAACCAGGCCCGTAGGCAAGAGGGAATGAGGGGGGCACATGCTCCCCTGCGCTTTGTCCTATTTGGTCACTAAAAAATTGAAATTAAACATGTATTCAAAAATTTTTAGTACAACTTGAAAAAGGGCAAGGCGAAGCCTTCTTGATAATATAAAAAATATAATTAATCATTTTATTAAATTTATGCAAAATCTTATCGAAAAATAGGTGGATATAGACACCTTTATTTAGTGTTTGATATTTAAATCAATTACTTGATGCAAACTTCAAATATCTATGTTTATACCTATATTAATCAAGGATGCTTTGCGAAAAATTGTGATAATTGGAGCCTGGAAACAAAAAATCAGTAAAATTTTTGTTCATCAAATCTAAATTTTTTATTTATCAATAAATTTTAAATTTCAAACACTAACCTTTTAGCATTCAAAAAGTATGGCCATATAAAATTTGTAACCCCCTCAAATTAAAGAAGGTTCATAGAAGTGCTTGGATTTTTCAAACACCAACAAACAGTGCATTCACCCCCCTATCTTAGTATGCTATGTAAACTATGTAATTTTAATAATCTTAGAAATGAAGAATTAATGCAAGAAATTATACAGAAAGATGCAATAATATCAGAAGGAAAAAATAATAATGTAAAACTCGAAAAACAAATCGGAAAGCTGCAAGTCAAAAGTACCAACATTGGTTCAAGAATATCCAATCAAAAAGACAAAAATTTGTCTCAAGAACTTTTGGCTTTAAACACAAAGTAATAAGTTTTATTTCAAAGTTGTTTATTATTATTAATATAATATTATTATTTTTATTATTTATTTTTTTATAATAATATATATTATATTAATATAATATTATTATTTTATTATATATTTTATTTGTGTGTTTTTTTGTGCTGATTCATTTTCACATAAGAAAAATTAAATTAAAAAAAAGATGCACACTTAACTAGCATAACCAGATTTTTTTGTTTCTAGTAAACAGCTTTTTTAATGGTTTTATTTTAACACACCCTGGATGAAGCTGAACCTCTTTGTGTTTTGCCATTCTTATATATATATATATATATATATATATATATATATATATATATATATATATATATATATATATATATATATATATATATATATATATATATATATATCTGTGTGTGTGTTAAAATTCTCGAAATTCAAGAAATCTTTAAAATTCTCGAATTTTGAGAAATCTTTAATATCCACGAAATTAAAAAAACTATAAATTCAGAAAATAAAATTTTCTAGTCTTGAGCGTTGAGTGTAAAAAATTGCAACACTTTTATTTCTGTATTAGTTTATACTATCAGAATTTTCCTCTAATTTATTGTTAAAGTTATGAATCTCAATAATAGCTCATTTTTAGCCTTAAAGGCTGAAAAATAAGCTATCATCTGTTAAATTTTTTTTTTGTTTAAATTATGTTTTCTGTTATGTTTAAGTTATGTTTTTTTTATTTTTTTATTTACACATTTCGCTGCCAACTACGAGTATAATGTTGGCGTCATTTACTTACTACGAGTATACTCGTAGTAAGTAATTTAATTGCTAACTACGAGTATACTCGTAGTTACCGTGATTTTGCTATTTGCCAACTACGAGAATACTCGTAGTAAGCCGGCGTCATGAGTTTGCCGATTACGAGTAAACTCGTAGTTATACTAACTTATTTCAAATAATATTTGTACATGACTGGTTTTTTCTGCTCTTATAAATATTTTTTTCTTAGCTTCACATTTGATTTTAGAAAAGATTAAATTTAAGTTTTTATTTTAAAAATCCCGCGAACCCAATTTAAATGCAGATAAAGACAGAAATAGCTTAAAACAGATAAAAGTAAAATTGGTATTATTTTAATTTTATTTTATGAAAATTAAAGTGTAAACCTATTCTTTTGAATGGTACATTCTGAAACATTAACATTCAATGGAGGTTTATTTTCACAAACAGAACATTCATATCGTGTTTCTTTACGTTTTATTTTAGAGCAGACTCGAGATGGTTTTGTTGGAAATTTTTTCTTTTCATTCGGTGATATTGAAGACAAGAAGTGGAAGCTATTATTGGTTATTCGAGGCACAATTTCATTTTAACCCAATAAATCCGTAACAACTAATTCTCTAAACTTAAGAAAGGAAATTGTTTTATCTTCTCCATATTTGCTGTTTAGACAGTAAGCAATAAACAAAAAAATATCAAATAGATAAGGTGCTACTTTTTTATACCATCTAATTGTCTTTCTTAGGCAATCATAATATAATACCATTTGATCCACTTTATCTACTCCTGATATACATTGCTGGTAATCTTTAATAAAGTTGGGTCTCATTTTCTTCTCCTTTCTCCTGTTTGTCACTTCAATTATTTGCAACGAATGCAAGTTGCTAATCATTAGCACATCTCTTTTGCCTTTCCATTTAGCAACCACTACACCTTCTCTGCTTTTGCTTATAACGTCTTCCTGTTTCAGTTTTGCTTTTTTACATTCGTTTGGATTTGACTTTCGGTCAGTTCTTAAAATACCACAAATGTATGCTTTTTGACTTATTATGTTCTTTGTTAGTTCAAAGGAATTGTAAAAGTTATCGGTGTGCAGGTGATAGTTTTTTCCCAGAAATTTTTCCATTAAATCTAAAACAATAGCTCCCGTTTGACCCAACAAATGTTTATTGAGAGTTGCCTCGCCAGAGTAGATTTTTACTTTTAGTACAATACCATCTGATTCGCAAAGCTCATAGAGTTTGATACCATACTTATATCTTTTATTTTTCACATACTGCCTAAATACAAGACGTCCCAAAGTATCATTGATTTATCAATTGATATATTTTTATTGAGACAGTAGATAGTGCGGCCGTGGCGCAATGGTTAGAGCGCTCCCTTTATAAGTAGGAGATCCAGGTTCGAAACGAGCTTTGAACATATTTTGTGTCGCGGTAAGGAAGGAGGCGCAAACTTTCTGGTTAAATGCACTTCCGCGGTGCTCTGTGACAAGACCGTTGGACTTCTTGGGAAACCTAAATAACATTAAAGAAAAAGAAAAAAAAAAAGATATTATACATTGTATTATTTAAGTGATTGAGAATTCCATTAATTTTACACAAGCGTCCGCTACCCGGACGCTTGTGTAAAATTCATTGCTAATAAAATGTCAAAACCGTAACATTAGTTGGAATTTATTTCGCGGCATTATCCTAGAAAATAAGGGAAATCTATAGAGACTGTTCTTAGACCAGTAGTGTTCTAAAGATGGCATTTTGACACATCCCATATGAAGAAGAATTCCAAGGAACTGCCCCAAATTTTCTGAAATGATTGGTTTCCAATCTTTAAAACGCGAACCTCTTCTGAGCGGACGCTGCTTATTTCTTGCGTTGCGTAGCGATTAGTTTTAACTACCTTAGTATTTATAAGCTCTTCTGTAACAAATAGTCTCAAAAATCTAATGGTTTCTTGCTCTCCATGTTTATCTTCAAACCAGGATTGGCAGTAAATTAAATTTGTTTTACAATATTTGGCTCATCTTTCCATTGGTTTTAATTTCTAGATGGATTTATTTCAGAAGTTATTTCGTCAGGCAAAATATTATTTATAAGATCTACTTGTTGAGCTTTGTTTTGATTTCTATTTTGATTTCTATTTTGAGTCTATAAGCAAGACCACCCGTTGTTCAAGCTCTTTTTGACGGCATTAAAAAATCTTCTACAGTGGTTGCTAGATGAACGTCTGTTAACTGATCGTCATCACTTTCTTCAGTGTTATTATCTTCAGAACCTGATTCTGATGCAGTCAAGCTTGAAGATGTAGTATAAGCAAAAAAATGAATCCGAATCTTCAATATCATTATCTTCACTATCCTTACAATCTTCCATAATCATATGTGCTGGTTCAATTGTGGAATATCTGTGTTGAGCTAATATGATATAGATAAATTTATAAATTATCTATTTATAAAATTATCGATTTATTAAAATTATCTATTTATAAAAACACATTAATTAGTATACTGTGTAAAAAATTCGAAGTGCACACTAAAAATGTTTTTTAATAAATTAAAAAACATTTTATTGTGAACTTCAAATTTTTTTTCACACTATTAATAACATGCAGTATAATGTAGTTATAAAATATATTTTAGCATCTAGTCTAAAAAATACAACAATTTAGAATTAAGAAAAAAATATATAAATTACCTTTTTTACTCAATTTTTACTGCCAATATGCATGTGCAAAAAAATTTAAACACTATTTATAATAATAATGTATCAAGTATTATTTAATGTGTTGATTAGTAATGTCACCGCAATGAGTATAACTCATTGCAGTGACATTACTAGTTACCGCAATGAGTCATTGTGGTGACATTACTAATTTGAAGTACACAATAAAATGCGAATGCTTAATGCATTGAATAGTCTACATTACTAGTCACCGCAATGAGTTAAGGTGCGTTTCCATTCATCCGTTTTTTCACGGGAACGGGATAGGAAAGGGAAAAATAATCACGTGAGCATGCGTAGTTTTCCTCTGGACATATTAAAACTTATACTACGCATGCCCACGTGATTATTTTTCCCATCTTTTTCCCGTTCCCGTGAAAAAACGGATGAGTGGAAACTCGCCTTTATACTCAGTACGGTGTTACGAGTAAACTCGTACTTCGGCACTGGAGAAAAAAGTTTCTCCATTGCCAAAGTTCAAGTATACTCGTAGTGCTTATTTTTTGTCAGTTATATTCAGAATAAAGAATATTATAGAATTATTTTAGATTAAAAATATTTATTGAAATATTGATATCTAGCCTTGGCAATTAGAATGAAACCGCGCAAAACAGCCTCGGCAAAAATTAATCATTGCAGACATGGCTCGGCAAAGTATTAAAGCATAGTTTAAAATAGCTCGGCAGCGAACGTGTTACACAATTACTTCAATATATGAAATATTAAAAATTTTATAAATAACATGTATTTTAACTCTACAATTGTTCCAAAATCACAAAATGAAAGCCGTGCACATGTTTGTGTTGTTTGTTTTTGTACAAGAGGGATATTACACATACACAAGAGGTTATGCTCATTTAGTGTCTGATGGAAACTTTTGATTGTGAAGAAAAACGTTATTTACTTCACAATCCAAAGTTTCCGTATTGGCTTTGTGTTGAGATTCTTCAATCAATGTATTTTAATTAATTTTAGATAAAGAAACTTAGGATTCAGAAAATTGTGTCTTTTGTCATATTAAAATTTTTGGATTTTTTAATCATTTATTTTATTTTTAAGGCTGGCTATTCAGTTGGAAAATAACGAGTCTCTTAAAATTGCACTTGATAATGTAATGAAAGCAAAAACAGATGATATGCGCATTTTTCAAGAAACGATTGAACAAACAAAATCTATTTTTCTGCATGGACTTAGAGAATATAAAAAAGGAATTACTTAAATGACAGACTTTTTCCTTATTTGTTGTTACTCAGTAAATTGTATTGAAATTATTTTTTTTTTTATATTTATGAATTGTGACATGCATTTTTTGTAGTGTTTGCAGTTGAGTGTTATTACTAATGATCTTTTTAGATCAGTACAAAATATGATTAGAACTATTTTAAACTGTCTTGACAAAACTATTTGCATAGAATGCAAGGTACAAAATAAAAAACAGGGGATGGAATGTATATGTATGATTTACGTGTATTTAAGTGTCCGACCACAAATTTAGTTTATTTTACAGAATTTGTTAATTTGTTACAACATTTGCGGAGACAACATGAATCATGAATCAAGACCAATACCTTCAAGTGTTAAGAAATCACATGCTACCTTCAGCCAGAGAGCTTAATGGCAGAAGTGTTTCCTTTATCTTCTAAAATGATAATGCACCTTGCCATAAAGCTAAGCGAGTTTGCAATTTCTTACGCGATAAGGGTGTTAAGCAAACGGAATGGCCACCCCAGATACGAATCCCATTGAACATGTATGGAAATCCTGTTCAGGGCAAGCAGGGGTAAAAAGCCATGCAATCAGAACGAACTTTGGAACTTGCTGCAAAATGCTTAGAATAACATCATTCCACAGCACCTTCAAGTTCTTATTGAGTCTATGCCTCGACGAAGTAAACAGCTGTGTTTAGCAAAGGGTGGACATACTAAGTATTAGTAATTCTTCCAGTTCTCGATTGACTATTTACTGTTGTTTATGAAAAATAAACACTGTACAAATATAGTGTGATTTTTGGGTATTATGAGTGCCTTGAGCGAAAATTGGAATATTTTCAAAAATTATAAAGCTGGATCCAAACTTTTTGCTAGCAAACAATTTTTAGGGATCACTAATCATGATCTAATTAGATGTGCTCAAAAAAATAATATTAGTGCTCAAAAAAATAATATTAGTGCTCATATCATTGCGCATAACATTAGGAATGATATGTGCGTTTCTGACGGTGATAAAGAAATCGTAACTATTGAAATTTTAAACAATAAAAAAAATAATATTCTATTAAGCTGCTGTTATAGACCACCTGATGGTGCGTCTGAAAATCTTAGTTTCTTTTTACAGCAAAATATCATTCACAAAGGTAGCAAAGAAAACAAATTTACTTTTATAATTGGAGATTTCAACATGAACTGTTTAATTTATAATAAAGATGAAAAAATAAAAAGTTTTTATGACGAAATGCTTATGGCAGGAGCTGTTCCTTTAATTAATCGCCCTACTAGAATAACCAAAACTTCAACTGCGTTGATTGATAATATTTTTACAACAGATATTTATAATAGAAAATTAAAAAAAGGAATTATTAAAACCGACATATCCGATCATTTCCCCATTTTTCTAACAATCCATACAGTATCCTCTAATAACCCCGAAAGACAAAATATAATAAAAAAACGTGTCTTCAATGAGAGCAATATAAAATCCTTCCAATATCAATTATCACTTCTGCTATGGAAACATATTAACTTTAATGAAGACGCAAATACAATATATAATAAATTCTTTGATACGTTCTCAATATACGATGCAAACTTTCTACTTGGTGAAAAAATAACAAAAATAAAAACCTTAAATAGTCCATGGATTACCAAAGGACTTAGAAAATCCTCTAAAATAAAACAGAAACTATATATAAAATATTTAAAAACAAAATCAAATGAAAACCAACAAAAATATAAAAATTACCAACATTTATTTGAAAAAATTCGTAAAAAATTAAAAAAAAATTATTATTCAAATTTAATTAGTAAATTTAAAAACGACTCAAAAATACTTGGAGAACGTTGAAAGAAATAACAGGAAAACAAAAAACAAATTTAAACTCCCTTCCTAAAGTAATTAAAATAAATAAAACAAATATATATGAACCAAACGAAATTGCAAACGAGTTTAATAAATATTTCATTGACATAGGAACCAAATTGGCAAACAAGATCCCTATTACAGAAAAAAATTTTAGTGATTCCCTAGAGCCTATAAATAATTCGCTTTTTATAGATAATTTACATTCTGACTTATCTTTTGATGAGTTTGAGAGAGCTTACAAATCTCTCAAAAGAAACAAAGCTACGGGTGCGGACGAAATAAATGGCAACATAGTCATAGATTGCTTTGAAAACTTAAAGTGTATTCTTTATAAAGTCTTTAGGGCATCTATGCAGCAAGGCGTATTCCCCGACCAATTAAAAATAGGTAAAGTAACTCCTATATACAAAAACGGAAAAAAATCAAATATTAGTAATTATCGCCCTATCTCATTTCTTTCAACTTTCTCAAAAATTTTAGAAAGAATTATATACAATAGAACATACAATTACCTTAACTAAATAAACTTCTATATAAAAATCAATTCGGTTTTAAAAAAAATTGTTCAACTGAACAAGCCATTACACAGTTCATTCGTGAAATCTCCGATTCATTTGGTAGATCACAATATACATTAGGTATTTTCATTGACCTATCAAAAGCATTCGACACGGTCGATCACAAAATTCTACTTAAAAAACTCAAATTTTACGGAATTAATGGCAAATTAATAAAATGGTATCAAAGTTACTTGGAAAATAGAAAACAATTTGTTTTCTATGGAGATTATTTTCAAAATGAAAAATTAATTGACATAAAATGTGGTGTTCCACAGGGTTCTATTCTAGGCCCATTTTTGTTTTTAGTTTATACAAATGATTTAAATAAAGCTTCTAACCTTATGAGTATAAATTTTGCGGACGATACTAATTTATTTCTGTCAAACAGTAGCATTTATGAGCTTTTTTCAAATATGAATAATGAACTCAATCAGATCTCCAACTGGTTTAAGTGCAACAAGTTAACTTTAAACATTGACAAAACAAAGTGGATCCTTTTCCACTCTCTTGCTAAAAAGCGTTTTTTTACCAAATAAATTGCCTAAACTTTTTATTGATAAAATTGAAATAAAAAAGGAGTCGGTCACAAGATTTATATTTCTACTAAATTGGCTAAAAGTATTGGAATTCTATATAAGGTCAGATACTATCTAAGTAAACAAAATTTAATTCTACTCTACTACTCGTTTATTCTTAGCTATATAAATTATGCAAATATTGTTTGGGGAAGTACCTCTAAAAGTAAGTTACGAAGTCTTTACCATCGTAAGAAACACGCAATGCGTTTAATATGTTTCGAAAATCGTTTTTCTCATTCAAATATTTTATTTAAAAACGTTAAAGCACTTAACGTTTACGAACTCAATGTCTATAATATTTTATGTTTTATGTTTCGTTGTAAAAGTGAACAACCATTGTCCAATTTCAAAGATCTTTTTACTTATAAAGCTATAAACAAATATGCTTTACGAAATAATAATTTATTAATTGAACCCTTTTGTCAAACAAAGTTTAATCAATTTTGCATAAACTATAGAGCACCGTATTTATGGAACAAAATTGTTGTTCCAAATTTTGATTTGTCAATTTCGTTTTCCGTTTTTAAAACTAAATTAAAAAACTATATTCTTTCTACTGGCAATATATATAAATATTTTTGAAATGTAAAATTCTTTTTTTTTACTCTGGATAATTTGTAAAATTATTTTCAGTTTTTGTTTCTTCTACATTGTTATTAGTTATTTGATCAATTGTATTTTATTTTATTATATATACACGTATTATATCTTTTATATGGTTCTGTCGACAAGATCATTTGGATCTTCTTTCAGATGCCAAGTTTATATATTGTTATATTGTTATATTACGATTAATAATTGTAAATTGAAAAAAAAAAAAAAAATATTGCCCATACCATATGGTAATTATGAGCATTTTAAATTAGCTCAAAAAAATAACATTAGTTAAGTAAAAAGTATCATACTGACAATTAGAACTAATTTGTGGAATATAATGATTCGTTACTAACACAACTTATCATTAAATGATCAAATTTTACCCACTTTTTATTGAAACAATACTACTATACTTTACGCATTAAAAAAATTAGTTCGTTATTTTTTCTATTTTAACTCAAACTTTTAAACAATAAAATTACAAATTTTTTGCAAAAAGCAGTGCGCTGAGAGGAGTGGGGGGCAGATATCCAAAGGGCGTAAAATGAAAAGAAGGTACCTAAAAAAAGGTCCATTACCTATAATATAGGGAAGTTTTGATAAATAAGGACGCCAATCAGTGTGGCAGCGCTCCGCGGGCCTGACAAGTATTGTTAAAATTTCATAATTTTTACCTTTGTTTTTATTCAAAAAGATCTTAAAACCACTGCATTTTTAAATTAGGTAATTTTAATAAAAAATACTAGGTTATTTCCAGGGCTGTGGAGTCGCGAACAAAATCACGACTCCGACTCCAATAGTAAAACCTCTCGGTATTGCACGTGCATGTACAAAACATTCAATTAACCTTATGTTCATAAATAAACCTCAAAGAACGTTTCATAAACTTGTCAAAAAAAAGTTTTCAACTTATCGTGTTATATTTTTTTAAGAATTCAAAGAATTTTTCAAATTTTGCTTTGGAGTTGTAGTCGGAGTTGGAGTTGGAGTCGTTACTTTTTTTTTTAAGACTCTACACCCCTGGTTGTTTCTCATATTACACAAAAATACTATTTTTAAATAAAGTCATAAGTTAATGTTTCTATGCATTGTTTTTCAAACAAAAATGAAACGGATTTCTAGCTAATATATTTTTCTTTATGAAAAAAATTTCGTGCTACAGATATATTCATACTTAATGATAATATTTTAACAACGCAAAATATTTAATACGGTTTTAATCAGTTGAGAGCCGCTAATTGTTGAATATAAATTGTTGAATATTAATTGTTGAGTATAAATATTAGAATGATAAGCATAATTGTATTGAAGTGTAAATGATCAAAATATAGATGTTTTAATATCCAATTACCTATGTAGTGTCAAGATGATATTCTCATCAGGACCATTATTTGTCATTAGGGAGTTTCGAAGGTCTGGCGCCTGACCAAAATATTTAATACAGCTTTAATCAGTTGAGAGCCGCTAATTGTTGAATATAAATTTACGCTAA